AGCTTCTAACAGTGTGCATCATAGCCATAATGAGCATGTCACATTGCTGCAGAAATCCTGTTTATGGCCAGTTTCTTTAACGCCTGTTTATGACAGGCTTATGGTTTACTCCCAGCAGCAAACAATGTTTGCATAATTGAACATAGATTGCAGTACTTTTGGTTGACACCTAACACTAGCAGTTCTACATGAGGTAAAGCTCCTGACCATGGTAACAGCACAGAAACTCCCACCACAGAAATGTTTATTAGCAGTCCATAGAATCATGGGTCATCCTATTATGGACACAGTCATCCTATTATGAGGTCATTAGAGTGCATGGTAATGCAATGACTGATGTATGTAACTGATGAGGGATATTTAGCCACAGAAACACAAAGGGAGAATACCATGAGACAGTGGAGGTAGAGTGTGAAGTGAAGCAGCTTCAAGCTAAGGGATGGCAAGGATTGAGGATCACTTCCAGGAACCAGAATAGTCTTCCCTATGGAGCCTTCAGAGGGAATGTGGTCCCATCACCTTAATTTTGGACTCCTAGCCTCCAGAACTGCAAGACAATACATTTCTGTTGTTTGAAGCCAGCCAGTGTATGGTGTTTTGTTATGGTACCCCTACGAACCTTATCCACATGGTCAAGTCACATTGACTTGGCCCAGGGTAAAGGACTAACTGAGGACATCTTCTATAAAAAAGCAAAACACTTGGAACACAGGGAATGCAGTTGTGTGCTGTTTTCATTCCAAGGCAACAGAAATTCTAGAGTCTGTTGGGGCATTGCTTACGTTCAGTTGGGAGCATTTGCGAAGCACTGGCTGCTGTCACGGAACACAGTTGGAAGCATATCTTCCACACAGCCTCTATTTTGAACTTGATAATTGTGTAAGCCAAGGGCAGCATAGCTTCTCAGAGAGAGGCACAGGCTAAGTGCTATCAGCAAACTGAACACACTTCCCAAAAGCAGAAAATGAATGATAAAGATTTACTATATATCTTAATTTGTGTTTGAAACACACACACATGCATGTGCATGTGTGCACACACACACACATCCCTCAAAAGTAAATGAAGCTCTTTCTGTATTTTTGACGCCTTTGTGATTCTGAAAAGATTGCTTTAACTCCACAACAATGAATACTTGACTCACCAGAGCCAGCTTGATTCTGCAACTGTCAGCTTCTGTGAGCACTCATCTCTGCTCTCTTGAGAATGCCAATGGCTCTTCTCACAGTGAGTGGTGCCTCTACATCACAGTTCACACCAGATACCTGGCAGCATCTGTGGTGAACATCTTTCTCATTACTTGCATTCCTTCTCCATGCCCAACCAACATTACCTTCTGAGTATTTCTCATACACTCATGTCTTTCATCTGTGCTCTGATCTCTCTAGGACAACATGCAGTTCCTTCCTGCCTGGACAATGGGCAGAAACTATGAAAACGTTTGGTCCTCAAGCCCCCGTACCCACAGAGCTAGAAAGATCAATTTCAAAATCCCAAAAGTCATGTTCCAGGTGAGTCATATTCTTCCTCCACTTCCCCAATCTCTCCTTGATATTCTTACCATTGATTCCTATTGCTCTGGGATACAGACCAGCTCCCTGGCATTAACTCTAAGGTCCAGCTCTAAGCACCTCTGCTGTCTGGCCTTACAAGACTCTCCCCCTTCCTTTCCATCAGACAGATTCCCTCACACTAATGTAGATTTGCTACTATTCTGTGTGGGGACTCTATGTTCCTTGTTTAGATACCACCACAAATGACACTTCCTCCCAGGATGACACCAGATTACTTGGTCAAATGCCTTTGCAGTGCTGTGGAATTTTTGGGGGCATAACTTGTAAACAGTTCTTTATTTTTGAATTTCCTTGATTGATGTCATTCCCCTGCATGAGATGTCCTCTTGAGAAGGGCAGGATCCATGTTTGTTTTACTTCATTTTTTTATCTTTAATATCAAGAAATGTTTTTGTTGAAAAAAATAAGAGAACAAATACAATTTTAAAATAAATGCATTTAAAAAGCATTTCTCGTACATATTTTGAAGGTTATTCAAAATATAATTAGGTTCTCGATTCACGGACTTGTTTACTTTCTGGCATGATGGGGTTCTTATTTCCTTTGTGGTTTTGTATTCTGCTTTTTTGTCTTTCTCACAGTGAGCCTTAGGATGAAATGATCTTTATTCCTTATTCTAGAGATGCAGTGAATTAAGCAACAGGCAATGCATAGTAAAATCTGAATCTTCAAGTTCCAAGAAGAGAAGGATACTAGAAAACTCAGAGTAAAACACATCAACACAATATCAAAAGTGTGCAATTCATTAAAATAATGTTAAATTATGAAAACCTACACCATGATGTGATCATGTCTCCTATTTGGAATTTCCCTGCAATGACTATTTTGTCAACAAAAGCAAGATTGATTCTAATTACCTCTTGTATTAATCCCTTCTCACATTGCTATAAAGAACTACCTGAGACTGGGTAATTTACAAAGAAAAGAAGTTTAATTGGCTCACAGTTCTGCTGGCTCTACTGGAAGAATGGTTTGTAGGCCTCAGAAAACTTTCATAGGGGGAAGCAAGCATATCCTACATGGCTGCAGCAGTGGGAAGAGAGAGCAAAGGGAGAAGTGCTATAGACTTCCAAACAACCAGATTTCATGAGAACTCTATTACTAGAATAGCAAGAGGGAAGTCCACACCCATGATTCAGTCACCTCCCAAAAGGCCCCTCCTCCAATACTGGGAAATACAATTTGATATAAGACTTGGTTGGTGACACAGAGCTAAACTATATCACCTCTCATATTTTGTCATGCTATTTCATTATCTGTAATAATTTATTTTATTGATCACCATTAATATTTATTGAACTTTTATAATACTTAAAGTTGTATATATGCTTAGGTGATAATACATTACTGCATGTGTAAATTCAGTAAAATGTAATGTACAGAGCATATGAAAGTAAAATAATGTGAAGAGGAGCCTGCACAGGAAAACAGGGCTGTGTTGTCCAATTTGGTAGCCACTCCTGTAGCTGTAGAAATTTAAATATAAATTAATTATTATTAAGATAAATACAAAATGCAATCTCTAAGATGCATCATCCACATTTCAAGTGCTTCATAGCCACATGTTGCTAGTGGCTACCATATTGCACAGTGCAGGTAGATGATTTTCTATTATCACAGAAATTTCTGTTAAGACAATATGTAAACTGCATCCTCAGTGGAAGTCAACATTATGCTTCATTGTTTAAAAAAGAAAGTTAACCGGCATTACCAGGTTGGTAGGCAGAGAACTCATGATTTCTACTTTAAAGATTAGTTAGAGACTCCTTACTATAAAGGTTGAAACTGAACTGGAGTAAAGATCTGACAGGTGCTTGTGGAGAAGATTTTAAACCCAACAGAGATGGATGGTAGAATCTCCCAGGTAGACCTTTCTGGTTTCATGACCCCATTAATGACTGTAATAAAAACTGCTTTCCAAGAAGGATGAACTTCTACTGATAGTTTACTGAAGGTGCCTAACACCTTCAATAAAACAGATCCACAAATTCCTGAACTATGCATCTCAACTCTGACTCCAAGAATCCTTCCAATGTCAAATTCTATGAAATAAAAATATTTTTGATAATCTAACATCCATATCTAAAAAGAATTTGGTACAACTCAATTATTAGTTTACTGTTACAGGGTACAAAATTTTGACACACATATAACTAATGTGCAAATTCCTTGAAACATTGTTTTCTCCTAGGAATGTTAAAACCAAAGATGGCATGGACAGTATTGTATTCTGAAAAAGCTTATTTTCATGGATAGTTTTATGGTAAACTCAAGATAAAATGATAAGTTCCGGAGGCATGAAATATACATGAAATAATGTCCACATTTGTACAGGTGTTTCCTTGCATTGTGGCCTTTACCTGCAGTACTTTGTTTAGGGTTATCCTAATGACTGACTTCATAAATCCTTTATGTCCTTTAAATACTTTATCGCTTTCTACTCACATGCTCAAAAGGGTATTATGTTGAATAATAATTTCTTTTTCTTTTATTAAAAAATGCTCTTTCTGTTTTAGAGTTATGAAATTCCAAGTCAGATACTAAGAAAATGCACAGATGAAAAATGTCTTAGTACTGTTATGGGTATTTATATCCAAATCATATCATATAATCAGAAATCATAATAATACCGTTATGTTGAACAATTATATGTTTCAATGGTAACTTATATGTCTACTATAATTATGCCATTTGACTAGTTACAACAATGATGCCAATTAGTTGCTGAATTTTCAGCTTTGAATTCCATTGATTTGGTGGAGTTTCTCCATAATTCTTGTGCCTTGAATTTGGTGAATGTAGAATTAGAATTGTGTGTTTCTAGCTCAAAAAAACTCCAGTGATGATTTTAAGGTTTGGGGATAAATATGTTTTCACATTTTCTGTTTATCAAAATGTCTAACAGAGGGCAAGTTGCTCTTTTTCTACCGTGGGCCTGGGCTATTAGATATTTATGTTATTTCTATCATGGGCCTGGGCTATTAGATATAGATGGTATTTAGGTTAAACTGTCAACTTGCTGAAAAGAGAAGTTATTTGGTTACATAACAAAAATAATCAGTTTAATTTTTTCATCCTTGATCTCTTGCTAAATTAAATGGATGAAATAGACAAATTTTCTTTGTTAGCATTGTACAGCTAAGAGTCCACAGGAGGACATTCAACAATCATCAACATATGCTGAATATAGAGGTCTAACTATGAAAATTAGTTCACATATCTTGTATATCAAATGCCTATTTCATGCATGGCACTATATTACCCTCTGAGAAAGGAACAAAACCATTTCAGACATAAGTCTCATATTCACCCAGCATAACGTATCAAATAGTCTGAGGCTAGGAAAAGTTTAGCCTTCCAAATAAAAATCACATAAAACACATCTTAAATTTCCTGATCAACTTGAGTGTTATTCTCCATGCTTACCTCTGAGAAGGAAGCTAAGAGACCATTTAGGTGACGTCAGATCTTCAAATCCTTTTATTGGGTAACAGTTTCAGCAGGATGGAGGGAACTGGACGTTGCTAGTGTTCTCATGCTTGAACCTGCAATTTGAAAGCTATTAGCATTTGGAAAACCCACTGAATGTCTCAATTTTCTTATCTCTAATAAGGGAATTAAAGATAGCTACTCTGTAAGACATTTGTGAAGTTTAAGGGAGAATACTGACACTTTTTTTTTTTTTACATTTTTTTTTTTTTTTTGAGAGGGAGTCTTGCTCTGTCGCCCAGGCTAGAGTGCAGTGGCCGGATCTCAGCTCACTGCAAGCTCCACCTCCCGGGTTCACGCCATTCTCCCGCCTCAGCCTCCCGAGTAGCTGGGACTACAGGTGCCCGCCCCCTCGCCCGGCTAGTTTTTTGTATTTTTTAGTAGAGACGGGGTTTCACCGTGTTAGCCAGGATGGTCTCGATCTCCTGACCTCGTGATCCGCCCGTCTCGGCCTCCCAAAGTGCTGGGATTACAGGCTTGAGCTACCGCGCCCGGCCAACACTTCTTTTTTTGATTGAGGGTCTCACTCTGTCGCCTAAGCTGGAGTACAGTGGCGCGATATCGGTTCTCTGCAACCTCCACCTCCCGGGTTCAAGTTACTCTCCTGCCTCAGCCTCCCAAGTAGCTGGGACTGTAGGTGCGCACCCATGCCCAGCTTGGAGTTTCACCATGTTGGTGAGAATGGTCTCAATCTCTTAATCTGCCCACCTCTGCCTCCCAAAGATTACAGGCATGAGCCACCAAAACCACAACCAACACTTTTTATAAACAGTGTATCCAAATATGCAGAACTTTTACCCTCTGGGTTTCAAGAGGAAATACTTACTTAAGAAGAAATTCACATTCTTCTGGGAATCAAAGACTTTAGATGTGATGCAATTGTTTGCAGGGAAGTGAATATGTACACTTCTAGAGAATTTCCTTGTAGATTAATATATTGGAATCAGCAAAAGCTTTGACATTAATGGCTCTGAATCTTGCTTTGTGCATGTGTAGCCCAAGTCAAACACCAGTTACAGCAGTCAGTTCCTGGAATATATCTTGATACAGGAGGAGGGCAGGAAAATGCTAGGAAGAGATGGGCATGGTCTCTGACTAGGCTTCCACTCCTGGACCTGGGACCATGGACTGAGGTGAGGACACTCATTTCTGTTTTCCTGCCCAAATGTTTCTTTTACCAAGACCACCCTGACCCACCATTCCCCTATCCTGTGCCCATAAAAACCTTGAGACCCATGTCAAGAGGAATACATGCCAAAATAAGACACAGTAGCTGGATGTTGAGAGAAATGCATCAGCAGAAAAAGACAAGCAGCTGGATGTTGAGAACAATGCATCAGCATAAGAGCACACTGGCAGGTATTGGCAGGTGCCAGGCCATCATCTGGTGAAATGACAAGGAGTTTGGCCAGGGCAATTAGAGGAGCCTGGCGACTCAGTGGCCCAACTCCAGGGGAAAATTGCCTTCCCATTCCATCTCACTGGTGGTTCCCCCATCTGCTGAGAGCTATTTCTCCTCACTAAAACCTTGAACTCATTCTCCAAGCCCACATGTAATCTGATTCTTCAAGTACACTAAGGCAAGAAACCCCAGGATACAAAAAACCCGCTGTCCTTGTGATAAGGCAGGGAGTCTAACTGAGCCAACTAACAAGCTGCACATGAATGGCAAAACTAAAAGAGCACCCTGGGCTGGGGGTGGTGGCTTACACCTCTAATCCCAGCATTTTGGGAGGCTGAGGTGGGTTGATCATGAGGTCAGGAGATTGAGACCATCCTGGCCAACATGGTGAAACCCCATCTCTACTAAAAATACAAAAAAAAAAAAAAAAAAAAAAAAAAAATTAGCTAAGCGTGGGGCACACAGTTGTAATCCTAGCAATTTAGGAGGCTGAGGCAGGAGAATCACTTGAACCTGGGAGGCACAGGTTTCATTGAGCTGAGATGGCACCACTGCACTCCAGTCTGAGCGACAAGAGTGAGATTCCATCTCAAAAAAAAAAAAAAAAAGCACCCTGTAACACATCCACTGGGGCCTCAGGAGCTGTAAACATTCACCGCTAGACACTGCCATGGTGTTGGAGCCTTGCAACCTGCCCATTTGCATGCTCTCTTTAGGAGTCTGAGCAGTGGAACTGAAGAAGTGAGCCACATCCTACAAGGAAGATAAGGGAACGTTTCCCACTTCAACTGGGGGCTCATCTAAGATCCTAGAAGATGAGTGTGAGCAAACGCAAAACCAATGGGTCTGCCTCTCTTCCAAAAACCCTACACCTCTCTGTCTTTCCTACGGGTAAGAGAATCTGTTTCTCTCCAGGGAGTTTTAAAAACTCTGCCCTATCCAGGTCAGTGAAAATCCCCAGACTTTATTTCTTTCTTTCTCTCACACAGTTTGAAATGACTCTTATTTCTTCCTTCATAATGTTAAGAGTTTTGCTACTGGCTGTGGCAATGTTACTAAGTAAAATGAGTGTTTGGCTCAGCTGCCAAAGGTGCAAATCAGACCAGTTGTTCCCAGATGTGCCACCTCTGCCTCTATCCTGACAGCTGCAGGCATGCATGGCTCAGGGCCCCTCTGGTTACCCTTTCCCTTCCAAGCTTGAGTGCCTAGGCATGTCCACAGCAGGCAAAGGCCAAACCCAACAGCCACAAGGCAAGGCGGGGAAAATCAGTGGTAGCTAGGACCTCTCAGAGCACTTCTTTCCCATCATGCCAATGAAACATTTCCCCCATTGACAAGGAATTCATCCCAGTCTGAACTGGGGAAAAGATTAGATGGGTCCACTTGCACCGAGCAAGAGCTTCCCTCAGGATCTCCCTGTTTTTCCCCGTAAACTGTTTTTCTCTTTTTTCCTTTTCTAAGTGAGAGAAACTCCCCCTCCCAAAACTGTTTCTGGTAAGAAAGTTAATGGAGGAATGACCCCTGCTGGCTGATAACTGCAAACTCAGCAGGGCATATTTGAGACACTTTAAATAGATATGAAAAGCCTCCAAAATACCTTTTCAGTCCCAATCCTGATTCCAAGCTTTAGGCTGAGACCTTAGAAAGACCAGGTTGGAGGAATCCAAAGCCAGCAACAGGCACAACGTAAATGGGCAGGATCAGTTCCTGTAGGCTAAACCCTCAATCCATGGAAGCACAACATACTCCATGGCATAAACAGACCGAGGGAGCTCAAAGTTTGCTAACAGCAGTAAGAAAGGCAGGCAGAGGTGAGGGTGATTAATTCCTATTCTCCAGATTTTCCCTGCTTCATGGGAACACACCACATTGGTACCTGTGGCCAGCACCTGCAAAGGTCCCTGAGACTCAGGGATAAAAGGTGGAAGGTAAATGAAGGATGCTAACTTTCTTTCTACATCACACCCTGAGTTTTTGCTGAAAGAAGGAAGGGAAATGAGGGATGCCTCTATTCCCTGTCTTTCAGAATGGGCAGCCAGCAATGTTCACCATCCCCAGATTCTACTCCTCTGGAGTGTATCCTGAACTATTGGGACTGGTTTAACCCTCAGAACCTGGAGGAAAAACACCTCACAACCATCTGCTAAAAGAAGGAAGGGAAATGAGGGATGCCGCTATTCCTTGACTTTCAGAATCAGGAACCAGCTCTCTTCACTGCCTCCAGATTCTACCCCTCTGGAGTGTATCCTGAATCATTGGGACTGCTTTGACCCTCAGAATCTGAAGAAAAAAACACCTCGTAGTCATCTACACAAAGGTTTGGCCAAATTATGATTCACAGCAAGGCATGAGTTGACCTTAGGAAGGAACAGTTGGAACTTTTCTGTAGACATGAGGACAGATGGTCTGAGGCTCCATATGTGCAGGCTTTGTATACCTTGCAAGGCAATCCAAACATTTGCTGACAGTGTAGGAATGATCCAGCCCTCCTGTTTGTCATCTCAGGGAAGGCAAAAGGGGAAAGCCCAAGGAAATAAAGATTCAAGTCCCAGAGGCAACCCTGGCAGTGGAGCCAGCTCCCTCCAGTCCTGCTTCTCCAGGTCCACCCCAACCACCCTCTCCAGCTTCAGCTTCTCACTTGCCCCCTCCTGGAAATCCTTCCCCTAAACAAGCCCCAGTCTCACTCTTGTCCCTCCAACAGATGACCAGTGAATTTGTCCCCAGTAAGGTCCAGGTCCCTTCTCCCTGCAGGACTTCAAGCAAATTAAGGGGGATCTTGGCAAGTTTTCAGATGATTATAATAAATATATAGAGGATTTCCAGAATTTCACCTAAATATTTGAACTTTCCTGAAGAGATGTTATGTTACTTTTGAATCAGACCCTGATGAACATTGAGAAGCAGTCTGCTCTGCAGGCAGCAGAGATATTTGGGGCAGAGCTTTGTACCACATATAGCATCAGAGAAGGGGGCAAACATTATCTAACAAGAGGAGAAGTAGTATCAGCAAACAACCTTAAATGGAATCCCAATGACGAGTTGGAAGACTGGGAAAGGAGACATGTTCAGATGTGCATAATGGAGGGCTTATGTAGGACTAAGACCAAGCCTCTCAATTTTACTAGGTTGTCCATGATTGACCAGGGATTTGATGAAAATCCCACTGCCTTCCTGAAAAGGCTGAGAGGACTTGGTAAACCATACCTCTCTATCTCCTGATTTAGTTGAGGGACAGCTAATCCTAAATGATAAATTTATTACTAAGAAGGTTCTGACATCAGGATGAAGTTGGAGAAATGGGCACTGGAACCAGATAGCACATTTGAAGACCTCTTGAAAGTGGCCACCTTGGTCTCTTATGATAGGGGCAGGGAGGCTCAGGAAAGAGAGAGGAAATACAGGAAAGAGAAAGACGTTTTAATGGCTAACCAGAAAGCCCACAAATGCCAGAATTTTTAGGGTGCGCTTGTTAACTGTTAAGGACATGGCAAAAACAGTTATTTCTCTTCTAAAGTTTAACTGCTCCCATAAAAACTTTAACTTATTTCGCCAAGGTAAAATAGCTTGGGGTACAACGCTGTTGTTAGTATATTTCACTTCTTATCCCTGTTGGCACTAGATTATTTCCTTGTATAACACATGTTTAACTGATGC